TCCGCCCCCCTGCCCAATACCCTATTACTGTAGTACCTATGTGACCACTTAGGTGCTGTTCAGTTAATACCAATTTGCTGGTGAGTATATGTGGTGCTTGTTTTTCCATTCTTGGGAAAATTCACTTAATAGTATGGGTTCCAGCTCTAACCAGGAAAATATAAGATGTGCTATATCACCTATGTTTCTTAGAGCTGAGTAGTACTCCATGGTATACATATACCACATTTTATTAATCCATTCTTGGATTGATGGGCACTTGGGGTGTTTCCACAGCCTTGCAATTATGAATTGTGCTGCCATAAACATTCAAGTGCAGGTGTCTTTTTTGTAGTGTCATTGGAACTTTTGGGTAGATGCCCAGCAAGGGGATTGCTGGATCAAATGGTAGATTCACTTGTATCGCTTTAAGGTATCTCCATATTGCTTTCCACAGAGGTTGAACTAATTTCAGTCCACCAGCAGTGTAGGAGTATAGAATTTTTTATTTCCATCTTGATTTCTTCATTTATGAAAGTAATCATTTAGTAGGAGGTTGTTTAATTTCCACGTTTTTGTGAAGAAATGTGAGTTTCTGTTAGGGTTGATTTCTACTTTTATTCCACTGTGATCTGAGAAGGTACATGGTATGAGTTCTATTTTTTTAAATTTCTTGAGATTTACTTTGAGTCCTAGGATATGGTCAATCTTAGAGAATGCCCCGTGAGCTGATGAGAAGAACGTATATTCAGTGGATTTTGGTAGAATGTCCTGTAGATTTCAGACAGACCCAGTTGTTCCAAGGTTTTGTTTAAGTCCATTATTTCTTTATTAATTTTCTGTTTGGAGGATCTGTCTTGTGCCGTCAGTGGGGTATTGAAATCTCCGGTGATTATGGAGTTGCTATTAATCCATTTGCTTAGATCCAGTAAGGTTTGCTTTATGAAACTGGGTGCACCTAAGTTGGGTGCAAATATATTTAAATTGTTATCTCTTCTTGTTGAAGTGTGCCCTTCACCATTATATAATGACCCTCTTTGTCTTTCACTACTTTGTTGCTTTAAAACTAAATCGTCTGAAATTAGAACTGCCACGCAGCCTTCTTTTGGCTTCCTCTGCCTACCATTTACTTTAGTCTATATGCATCCTTGCAGGTAGATGTGTTTCCTGAAGAAAGCATATACTTGGCTGTATTTCTTATCCATTCAGCCAGCCTATGTCTCTTGAGTGGAGAGTTTAACCATTTTCACATTTATTGGGAGAACTGATAGGTAAGGTAGATTACTGTTCATTCTGTTGGTTGGATGTTGTTGCTTTGATTTCTCTCTTGACCTTTGTATTATCTGCCTTAATCTTTGGTTTTGGTTGTTTTTATATTCGTGAGTTATTATTGTGGTGAGTTCCGTGGGGGGCCGGGTATATACATACATAATGAGTGAGATGTGCACCATCTGGGGGATGGTCATGCTGGAGACTCAGACTTGTGGGGGGAGGGGGAGAAATGGGCATTTATTGAAACCTTAAAATCTGTACCCCCATAATATGCCGAAATACAAAAAAAAAAAAATAATAACTGAAAAACACTCTTAATTGTAGGCACCAAAATGACATAAAAAACAAAATAGACACTTTATATAATTTCTAATTAAAACTAATGTTAGGTAAAAGGATCTTTAGAAATAGTAAAACAAGACTATATTTACTTAAGTGTTTTCTTTCACATAAGAATGGTTAATAATATATCTTCTATAATGTACCTTGATACACCATACAACTTCACAAATGGTATTTGTATACATGAAGTCTGTCTGGAAAGTACTCAGCCATGTACTATGTTCTCGCTATTTTAACAATGGCTGGATATTTTCTAGGTAGACTTCATAGTAAATCCTTATTCCCAAAAAAGGGCTAATGTTTCATAATGAATTATAACCAAATATTCATAGTAATAAATATTTTAATTGATTATCCTTTTTTAGCCATTCTTTCATATGAAAATCTTGAGTTATATGGATGTCCCAAAGTCTTTCATCAATTCATTCATTGATACTCAACATGTGTTTTTGTCAATAAATAGTATAAACAAAACAACATGAAAGACTAACTGGGAAAAATTTTCAAATAAAGTGGAAATTTATTTTGGAATGAAATTTAATATGCTCAAAATCATCACAATCTCACTGATATCACGATAAGTTAGGCCACTACAAATACAATAAAAGAATCCATTTATTGTTATATTAAATAGCACTATCCTCTTTATTCTTTAGGACCATGCTTGATGACCCACAAAATCTATGAGAAGGAACTCACCAATTTTTAATATTTACCTTTAATTGTACAGCCACTGGTGAGCTGAAGACTCCTGGAGGGTAGTTCAAGGATATTCTGGAATCTATGTTTGACTTAAGAGCAAGGCCTTGCTTAGTTACTGTGAAGGACTCTTTCTTTAAACAAGACACAACTGAAAAGATACCCAACTTGTAAACTTTCACAGCAGCACAGCTCCCCTGTATGGATTAAAGAACATCAAAACAAGCTACAGCACTGTTTGAAAAGTACATGGTGTATATACTTTACAGATTGTGAAAAAATCTATATACCATCCATGTAATCATCCATAATTTGGAATGATCTATTAACTTAAAATGAATGGTCCTTTCATGAGATAAAGTAGAAGTAGATAATTAAGAGCTTCTCAAATTTGGACTTCAAGGTAGAAAAAAGAGAAAAAAATATTTTGAAATTTAAATTTAATCCCTTCCAAAAATGTATATATACAAGGGCTGTCTGGAAAGTATCCAGCCATTGTTAATATAACAAGAACATATTACATGGCTGGACACTTTCTGGACAGCCCTCATATACTAGGCAATGATATTCAGTGTTTTCACAAACCTTAATTGCTTCTGGAATCCTAGCCTCTTTTAGCTAGAATAGATTTTGAGTATTGACCTTTATCCAGAACAATTCAACACTATTTTAGGGAATTCTAAGGACTAGAATCTCATTGTTTGGATAGTTTACTCAAATGCTATAGCACCTATACTGTCAGCAAATTCTTTCTTCTGATAATCTCCTAGGCTCCCAAAATAAAGTCATTTTATCTATTTCTTTCTTCTATGCAATGGGTGTAGATGACTGCAAAGAGACACATTTGTGTTTCTTTTTCATACAGTGGCATTCAAATTTGTAATGCATATATGCAGGCACACATTCAAGCTTTTTTATTGCACAAAAGGGAACTGAGTACATAAATGAAAACAAAATGATCTACTCATATAATCACCAAAGCTTAAATTGAGGAGGCAGACTTAGAAGTAATCTGGTCTATTCATGATTCCCCAAACAGCAGCCCTGAGCTCCACCCCAGTATGAGTGGATAATCATGCATATACACACACACTAATATTCAGGGACAATCACAAGGGAAAAGTATCATTTGAAAGCTGACTAAGGAAGAGATTTCACAATACCACTGCATGAATCCCTGGTTGGGAAAATTCAGGTCATGGTGAATTTTCTTAATTGGCCAGAGGGAAAATGGTGAAAAATCTTCCAGAAACCAATGGTGGTTGCTGTGCATTCAGACCGCATTTGGCGGATACTAAGAAACCCAAAAAGGTTTTAAGAATTAGAATTTCTAAATATCATATGATCCACATAACAATTTGGAAGGAATCCAGAGTTTAAATTTTCTTGAGTGAAAATTAGGGATGACTGCCAGTAGAATACTATAAAGAGAAAAGTTTATGCCTTTACTTTTTATATTAGACAATCATTCTTTTATCTTTTTTCTTTTGCTTTGATTATCCATTTGCTAAACATCGTTCAAACCAATTTTGTGAAAAGTATGTGTGCTATGAGCAGTTTTTGTTTCTATTGTGACAATCACACAGACTGGCTAAGATTAAAAAGCCCCAGTCAAGGGCAATGCTGTGCAGACTATTACATGCTTCTGAGACTTATCATCCCAACTAAATGACTGAGGCAAAAATCTCAATCAATGGAGGTTTATTAAGCCAAAGTTGAGGACATACTTGGGAAAAATACAAACCACAGACAAAGCTGTGGGTATTTTTCTGAGGGGAATTTGGAAATTTTAGCATTGAAGTCATAAAGAAAGAAAAAAGAGCAGGGAGACAAAAAGGTTACGTTTTTTTGTGATTCTCAAGAAAATCTAAATTTTACATGAGAATAAGGCCAATATTAGAAGAGAAAAAGGAGTGAAGGAGGCATAATTATGTAGATGTCTCTGGGTCAAAGAATGCTTTATCATTTCTTGTCTCTGTTTTGTGCCTGTAAAGATAAACTTATAATTCATTAATAGTGTGAAATCAGGACAGATTTTAGGTTTTAGGAGCTACACATAGTCTGCAGACATAAAGCTACAATTAGCAAGTCCTTGCTTCTGGGAGACCAGTAGGAATTCCCTCAGTGAATGATATGTGGGGCCAGTTCCTCACAGGTACCTGAGGCCTTTACATCCTCTTTTGTGTAAAAAGTTGGGGGTTGTGGGGTTGTCCTAAAATTTTATTTTTTTTTTTACCCACTAAATATAAAATGTATTAGTTGCATGAATTGGAAAAAATGAGTAATTAGAATAGGCTTAACTTTCATATTCAACTGTATAACCTTATTTGAAACTCAGAAAAGAGAGATTTCAACCAGATTTCAAACCTAACCAATCTTCCTTCACAGCCAACATCCTAACTAACCCATACACGATCTTCCATGTACAGACTAAATTCCACTTATAGACGTAATTATTATGATCTCAAGGCATATACATACACAGTTATTCTTTATTTTTATATATTTTCCCAATTCACAAATTATAAAAAATAAAGCTGCTATCATCTGACAATTCTAACAGTCTTAATTTAAACAGGATTCCACCACATTAGAAATGTTGGTCTAAAGCTAGTCTATAGTATTAAAGTAATTAAGCTATGATGTTGGTTTTGTTTCCCAGGTGAAAAAATAACATTTGCTAGGTCCTAGGCCCAAGTTCTCTATTCCTAAATTTGGCCAATCATTTCTGCTCTATGGATAGCAACAAAGTGGGAATGCACTGGCACAAATCTATCAACCTTTCCATTTGTTACCAGTGGAGCAATTATATCTATACTACAATCTGTTACTCTGAGTAATAGTCAGAAGAGGAGCCAAGTATTTACCAACCTTATAACTTCCTCTCATTCCTTCCAATGAATTTGGGTTTAAGTAACTTGATTGAAGGTTTACATCAAACACTTTCACCATGATATCTCTGTAATTTCCCCTATAATGTGCAGTAAATGGAATTGCAATGCATATTGGAAATGGAATTTTCTTTTCCCTATCTGAACATTCAATAGTGATGACATTGCTGACCAACTCTTCATAATCACTCACTATTAAAGAACTCATGTTATTAATTATCTGGCATTTTAGTTGCTGTAGAACATATAATGGTGCTGTAATATAACAAGACACTTGAGGGTCAGTGGCATCATTCAGCACATCAAGGTACCTGCATGGGAAACAAAAAGAATGTAATTTTGCCAATTATTTGATTTATATGCTTTATAGCTAAATGCAGAGGGGCACAAACTCTAGCGCTAGGGTTTGAATGTGAATCCTTGTTCTCCCACTTGTTGATCCTATGACCTTGGGCAAGGTACTCAACCTCTTTTTGCTTCAATTTCCTCTACTGTAAAATGGTGACAAAATAATACCTTTCTCCTAGGAAAGTTATGTGAATTAAATGAACTGTTATATATTAATTAGGGCTATGTCTGGCACATAGAGGTGTTATATATGTGAACTATAATAACTATTGTGATTACTATTATTATTCACGTTATTTAATTCATTCTTCAGTTTTGTTCACTCCACAATAAGAATCTGGGATTGCTGAAGATTCTTGATAAACCAACTACTAAATATCTGAATAGTTTCCTAAATTGAGAGGAGAGAGAGTAATCATCTATGATGTACTGGAATTGCCTAAACAAATGATCAAATGATAATGATTACTACATTTTTTTAGAAAAACTGAGAAAGATACAAAGAACTATGAATTTATGATTAATCATAGTAATTTGGACCAGATTATTTACAATCCTCAAAAGAATCAATCAAAATCTTATTTGCCAAGGATTTTTATAGTCTTATAAATCCAAATTCAAATTTGAGATTAGTCATGTACAATTTGTTTGGCTTTACACATTAATAATTATTATCAAAGTAGCTAATATTTTAGTGCTTTATATGGACTACACATTATTAGGCTACACATTATTTTATTCAATCTTCACAATTATTGTATCAGACAGGTACTACTGTCATCACCATTTTACAGACAATAAAACTGAGGTCTAAAAAATTTAACTTGATTTTAAAGATGCCATAGATAGTAAGTTTTAGAAGCAATAATTGGCTCCATCCATCTTTAATATGAAAGCCGAAACTCTTAACTATAATATTATGCTACCTCAAATCATTTGAAAGTACTGGCTACTTTATCCATTACAAATTAAAATGAATATCTAACCCATAATAGTGTGAAGATCGAATGAGATAAAACATTTAAACTTATGGGTTGGCATAAGATAGGTGCTCAGTAAATGTCGAATTAAAATTACCATCTTGAGTTTCTCTTCATCTTGCTACTTTTCATTTATGCCAGTGAAATGATTGAAATATAGGCAATGTTGAAGAGAAATAAGAGGGTCTATATATTATATATCATTAATGTCTAGTTCTAGAAGTATTATAGTTTAGATTAATGCTAAGTAGAGTTTTAAAGTGTACTTTAACATAGAAATCTAAAAAACTATGTTGAAATTACACAGAGGGTCATTTATTTATATTTGCAATTCTGAACTCATAAAGTTGGAAGGAATAGAAGATTACCCAGCACATTGGTCTGCTTGGGTATTCTCTGGGGATTGCAATGGTGGTAATTCAGAAAATATGAAAAATTGTTTAATAGAGGATGTGGTGACCCAGCAGTGTATAACTTAGAATGACTCCCTTCTGTGCCTTGGAAAGCATCTCAATACACTCTTCTTTTAGCAGGCATGTTTCCCAATGGCAGATGAAGTAGATGAGAAGACTGGTAAATGGTTCCATCCCCACCAGCCCTCATCAGTTAGATTCTAGTCCAACCACTAAAAAAATATAGTCATTCACAACATAATGGCTTCTCGGTCAACGATAGACCACATATACAATGGTGGTCCTATAAGATTATAATATCATATTTTTATTGTACCTTTTCTGTGTTTAGATATGTTTAGAGACAGAAATACCATTGTGTTACAATTGCCTGCAGTATTCAAGGAAGTAGAAGCAATAGACTATACCATGTAGCCTAGGTACATAGTCAGGTACACCATCTAGGTTTGTGTAAGTATATGCTATGATGCTTGCACAATGACAAATCGCCTAGCTGTGCATTTCTCAGAATGTCTCTGTAGTTAAGTGACACATGATTGTAATCACATTGTTTCCCCTTCATATATATACTAGGACAACAACACTAGAAGAGATAGGCTTCTTTCAGAAAGCTGTCCGGGGATTCAACAGATTCTGCATGAGTTTTGTTTATCACACACATCTTTTATGTGGCATAATGGCTTCCTAGGCTGAGAGATTGTAACGAGTAGTCTTCTTAAATATGCAAGCCAAGCACAATTGGTTTGTATGCCACAAAGAGGAAATAACTAACCAGAAAATACCTAAAGGAGGTGTTAGAGGGTGTGGTTCAGGCAATGACTCATTAACTGATGCTTTGAGTCATTTCTGAATGTGAGAATATGAAATGTCAATGTCTTTCTCAAGTGAAACAGGTAACCACATATTGACTAGTAGTTGTTTTGCAGGAGCAGTAATTCTTACAAATTGTGGAGGCCTTTCAAGCACTGAATATACCCAATCATAGAATTCATTAGATTCTCTGACCAGTAGGAACATAACAGCTAAACTAGCCCAACCTCTTCATTTTATAGAGGAGATAACTATGCTTATGGTGAGCAAAATGACTTGGCTAAGATCATTGTTTTGAAAATGGTATTGTACATCTGAAAGGGCATCAACATACCATGGCAGAGAAGCAGGAGATTGAAGGGTGGTAGTGAGTGGGAGGTGGAGAAAGTGAGGGTTGTTGAAGGTGAAATAAACTAACATACTAACATTTACCTGAGTGTGAACATCTGCAGAGTGGCACAGTGCCAGGCCCTTTACATGATTTTCTCATTTGACCTTACCAAATAATCCCAGGGAGTACATATTATTTCTACAAACAAGAAAATGACGCTAGGAAAGAAAACAAGTTGCCCAGTGTCACAAAATTAGTATGTAATAAAACAGAAAATAAAACTTGAGTCTATCTGACTCCCAAAATAAATGATTTTTTTTTCACTGTTACCCATTGCCTTCTAAGGATGTTATATTTTCCTGGGAAAATAGGGTCTGTGAATATTTTATTTTATTTGGACAAATGGGGAAATATTACCCCCTTATATAGGGGAAATAATTTACAAAACTTATCAGTCTCTCACTTTTTGAAAGTCATGGGCACTTAGAGAATCTGATGATAGCTCTGGACCATCTCCAAGGAAATAAAATGGATATAAACATACACATTCAATTTAAGCACCTCCTGAAGCTTATCCATGAGCCCCCTAGGGTTTTACAGACATAGGTTCAAAACACATGACGATTTTCTTGGGAATATAAATGAAATAAATCTGATGCTAAAAAATTCTCTCCTAATTTTTGTAACACTCTATAGCCTCCTAGTTTATCTTATTATAATTGAAAATGTAGTGGTTTAGAAAAGTATCTATGCTTTAGACAATTGTTTACTTTCTTAAGTACTCAATTCCTTCCTCCTTTAAAAAATATTTAATATGTTTGTTTCCTCAAGGTACAAGAAACAAGCAATATTAGTAACAGCAGCCATATAAATTTTTATAGGAGTAATTTAAACTGAATTAGTGATTTATAATATCTTATATAGGTATGAAATGGAAATATAAAATTATATTATATTCATGTACAAATACTATGTATAACAATAGTCTGAATGTTTCTGTCCCCTCAAAATTTATATACTGAAATCCTATCTCCCAAGGTGATGGTGTCAGGAGAAGAGGCATTTGGGGAGGGGATTAGGTCATGAGTGTAGAGCCTTCATGAATGGGTTTGATACCTTTATAAAATAGGCCCAAGGGAGCTCATTCACCCCTCCACCACGTAAGAACATGGCAAGAAAGCTCTCACCAGACAAATCTGCCAATGTCTTAATCTCGGACTTCCCAGCCTCCATGACTGTGAAAAATAAATGTTTAAAAGCTGCCCAGTTTATGGTATTTTGCTATAGCAGCCTGAATGGACTGAGACATGTACTAAGTACAGAAACATATAAGTAGGCATATATAAAAACTTTTCATTTTACATTTACTTACTCCTTTTCCATTATGTTATCCTTTTGCGTCATAGTCTCTGAATCATTGGGAAGAAGACTATTTACATATTTATTGGAGATATCACATGTTACTAAGGATGTAGTAATCTCTTCTCTTTGGCTTTCTGAGGTCTTTTTAATTTCTCTCTCTGTTGTCTGGATTATGTCATGAATCTCTTCCTTGTTGCCATTTGTGCTCTCAACAGTCATGTGTTTGATTTGTTTATCACCTTCATTTTCTGCATTATTTGGGAACATTTTGTTCTGTGTCTCTTCTTGCTCCATTACATTTCCATTCAATGATGTATTGTTTTCTTTTTCCACTAATTCTGAATTCATATGTGTTTTATTTTTTCTTAACTGGACCTGGTTTGTGTAATGACTTTCCTCACCATTTTGGGGAGAAACAGTAGCTGTTTCTATGACATTTAGTTCCCTTCTTGCAGCAATGTCTGTTGCTTTGGTGTCTTGAATGGAGGACATTGTCTGCTGTAGAACACATTCATCACGCATGCCGCATAAATTACACATCTCCTTTTCTTCTCTCTCCAGAAGTCTAGCAGTGCTCCCCAAATGTTCATTTATTTTCATGAGGCAGTCTATGAAAGTAATGATTTCTACATGCACATACACATACACAAAGAATAAATACAAAACTAAACCAAATTATGTTTTTGCAGTGACTTCTAATGAGATATGGCAAGATAATCGTAGAAACTTACAAAAGCCTTTGCTGGGCATTTAAGCCAAACTCCTGAAGGAGAAATCATTTGTATAACTGTCACTCTTTTAACCCTTCTAGGAATGGGAAACAAACTGCTTTTAACATAGTAGCAAAGAGTAAATCTAATACCTCTTGTTCATGAAAACACTTTTAACATTTAAAAACAGATATCATGCCTCATCCACTTCAATAAGAACTGAAGTTAATGTTTCCCTAAATCATTTCTCATTTGGTATGATTTTGAGAATTGTTCCCTTGCCTCTAGATGTGCTACAGTTTATCAATTATCCATTTAAAATGCTGGGCCTAAAATTAACTGAACACCCCAGGTGAGGCTCAGGCAGTAGAAACACCATAGCTGTAGTGTCCTGCTGAGGAAAATGCTATATTTTGGGGGGAGGGGTGTAGCTTGCTGCTATGATAATTGGATTAGGTTTATGTTATTCCTCCTGCTAAGCTTGTGATCATTGGAAATTTTCAAATTAGTCTTTTAAAGAATAGCTATGATTATGCCAATTCTCTGATTGGAGCCAGGTGGCTACTCAAGGATGACTAAGTCAAATCCATCCCCTTCACTCTGGTGTAAACCTTCATCAGGATCTGATCTGATACAATCTCTCATTTCATCTTCACTTCTTACCATTCTCTTATTTGTTCTTCCCTCCTCCCTCACAGCTGGGGTCACCTGATGACTTCTTGCAGGTTCAGCACCTCTCCAATGTTTACAATTCAAGTCTGAACTGAGGAATACGTGACCTAAGGCCCCATAGCCCAGAGTTTTTAGAATCATCACCCAATCATCTTTTCACTAGTTCAGGTTTGTCTTTGGGCTCCAGTTCTGGCAACTTTTTTTTTGCCTTCTACCTGAGACTCTGTCTTATTTTTGACTTCTGTTCTAGGAGCTGAGTCCTTGTTTCCCTGAATAGGTATTTGTCTTGATATGTTGCCTAGGACCATGTTCAATTCTCTCCAGAGACTGGAGGCCTGGTCACAAGCTCCAGCTGGTAGCTTCTGGGTCATGCTGCCTTTGGACAGATTTTCCTGATGTCTGCTATTTGCTTTCTAGACTGAATTTCTTAATATTATCTACACTGGATTCCTCGCACTTGCCTTGACATTACATTACTATATTATTTAGAGTTGGATTTCATGACGACATCTATACTCTTATCTGGAGTAACTGTTGCCTAAGATCATATCCATCAGATACCAGGTTCTTCCTGCCTTACTGTATTTTCCAGCATCCATAACTGGGTTTGTTCCCACGAACCTCCCCCTGCACACACTGTGTGGCGAGATCCAATTCCCTATCCCACCCACTCCAGTCTTCTCAGTGATTTTGAATTAACAAGTCCAAGTTAAAATGACTCTAGAGATACTAGGTTATGTTCTGATGTAGAAAAACTGTATGCTCTGCATCAAACTCAGCCTATAATTTCTTATTTCTAAGTCTTGGATCCTGTTAATAATACCTCAAGACCCCCAATTTTCTGCTGCATAAATCCAATTCATTCTTTAAGCTTTATTTAAAATGCCACATTTGTTCTAGCAAAATGTCCTATTTCCAAACCTAAAAATGGGATTTTGTCTGCTTCTGAAGACCAAAAGCACTTCATTAGTACATCTCTAATGGGACTGGTCGGAATGTTCCTTGCATTATTGTGCATTTGTCTCATCTCCCATATTATATTGTTAGTCCCTTGTGGACAGAAACATTACCTTAGCCTTGTTTGTGTGCTCACAGAATCAATATTTCTCAGAGAAAGAATAAACCAAAACAATACTTGCCTTGTCTCCAGATGCGTTGATTCTCCTTGTCAAGCAGCACATGCAGCTGCTGGCAGGAGGCGCGCAGGGTGCCCGAGGTGTGCTCCAGCAGCTGGTGAAGGGCCCTCGTGAGCTCCTGAGCCAGGAAGCCCACCGTGGCCATCCACGTGGCCCCGCCAGGTCCCTCACAGAGGTCATCCCCCAGGAGTGCCTGCTTGAGCATCTGGTTTTGTCTCCAAATCTGCTTCAGTATTTGGCCCAGTTTACCTGAGCCCACATCCCCTGTATCCATGTTGTGCTCCAAAAGTGATATGCTTCTTTCCTGCCAGCAAAGCCTAGAGATTTAGCAAATTAAAACTTGGCAATGGTTATTTCTCCTAAAATCTAGGAGATGATCCAAACTGGCTAGCCAAGCACTTTCCCACAACATAACAGTTTATTCAGCTTGTTGTTGACTAGCGACAAGTTACTAGGTGACCAAAGTTCCCGCACCTGAGCACTGTTGTGTACAGAAGAGATTAGTCACAGGACGGAGCCCGCTCACACAAGCCACCTCTCCACGTAAGTTTTACAAATCCAATATACTAGGGCAGCCCCAAACACTTCTTGAGTTTTGAGGCAACAAAATATGGATTCCAGGTAGCATGAGAAATTTATTAATCAAAAGTAAACTGTTTGAACAATATTGCTAATGAGAATCCTGTATACTTAAAAAAATACCTGTGAATGAAATAATGTGACATCTGATTTGCTTCTAAATAATCTGGGAGTTAGGCATGGGGTTTAGATGGAATAAGATTGGCTATAAAATGTAATCATTGTTGAAGTTGGATATGGTTACATACGGGGTCTTTATAATTCAGTCTAATTAGTATATATTTATAATTGTTTTTATAAAAAGAATTAAAAGAAAAAAGGAGCCGCACCTATTACCATTGGTTAGTTTAAGTATAATTACTAACTTCTTATATGGTAAATCTGCAGAGAGACCAAGACAGGGACATGGCCTCTTTACTTTCTGATAATTTCCCACTAATTAACTAAAATTCCCTTTCCCTAAAAGTAAGCTAACCTGAAGAGCGGCTTTCTGTAGACTAGCCAGGAGCCTTTACCACTGCGACTAAATCCACAGGTGGCTCCCACGGCCCTATCAGCACATCCATGTGCTGTGTGGGGTGCACCAGACAGCCTGCCCCCTCTCCAGTCTCCCTCCCTTAAGGGAGAACATGCACCAAGGGGAGCGGACAGAGCCTCCAGAGAGGCTCCTGTTCCCCGAGGTACTGGACCGAAATGAAAGCTTCCCTCCCACAGGCCGTGCATTATCTCATCTTAAGCACCGAGGTTCTTATAGCCACTGTACTTAGGACACCTGGAAGACAAGAGGGGAGAAACAAGCCCAGGGAGTTAAAGAATAAAGAATGAATGCCACCAGCCTTCAAACTGCCTGAGCTGCGGCTGGTCCCAGGAATCTGAAGGAAAACGAAAGGACCAGCAGGAAGACTGGTGGCTGTGGAGTTGGGTGGGCGTCCTTCTGTCCTAAAAGTCCTATTTTTTAGTAAACTTCTCTTTACTGAAAAGGAGACCATTCTTCAAATATGAGGCCATATCACCTCATGGACCACATTGCTTTAATATTTTTCAGCCTCTTCTCAATACTAAAGACTTTCTGATTCAATATTTTTCTCTAAGTCCTGAAATATATGTGTATTTCTCAATAATAATGTACATATAGGGCTTTAATTCAATGCCAACTTTGAAAAATTTCTGTATCATTTACTGTGGGCCATGCACTATCTAAGTGCTTGGAGTAGAGCCTTTTAGGGCTTCAGAGAGAGATGGATGCATAAACAGATTAAAATATGCTGCTCAGACTATGTGGAGAGGTAGAGCAGGAGTATGAAGACAGAGTATCATGAAAGCTGTGAGAGGTAAAAAATTAATTCTGACTAGAGGCTTGGCAGATGTTTAAATTAAGATCTAAAGGGTGAGCAGGATTAAGCAGCCTAGAGAATAAAGGGAAGAAACTTCCGAGCATGGGAAATAACAGGATCAAAGGCACGGAGACATACGATTATGCAGTGGGATAAAAACCGGAAAAGTGTGGGTTTAGAGGAAGGTTCAGTTAATAAATTAGAAGTGGCAAGAGAAGAGTTCAGTAATTATGGAGAGTTGGGAGGAAAAGTTGCAAATTTGGCTTTCAGACAAAAGAGAGAAATTAAATATTTTCAGTCAAGTTGCATTATAATGAAATCTGTGCTGCAGATGGTTTAGATGGCCAAGACATGCGAGTTAGGACTTGCAGGCCTGTGCCAAAGCAGCAACAGTTGCTTCGGTGCAGCAGGGAAGGGCATTCCTTGAGAAGCTTCGAGTAGAGTAGATAACACTCACTAAACCATCAAATAGAGGCAGAGGAATAGAAAGCATGGAGAATCCATCCATTCATTTATTTGAGAAATATTATGGGCCACTGTGCTTGGTAGTGAAATATGAATAAAATTTTCAGTTTAGGTGACTGCATAGAGGGTAAAACTCTTAAGGAATTTAAGAGGAACATTAGGCTTGATGGGTAGATAAGTTGATTAGTTTTGGATTTGTTGAGCTGTTGAATGAATCCCTGGAAGTAAAAGAGATCAAAGGAGAATTTACACCACGAACATTGTAAATATTGAATAAAACTGACAGTAAATAATGTTGGATCACTGGACCAATCTACACTGATTTACTTCTAGATATGTGGGAAAATTCTTTCTTGGAGAATAGGAAAAAACCACAAAACATTCTCCTTAGCTTCACTGACATTTGCTATCCTCAAGTCTAAACTTGTTCTCTGTCTGGCTTCTTAAGAACATGTAATATTTACAGAGTGAGACCTACCACAGGCCAAGCTGCATTTGCTTGTTAAAACAAGCATCTGCATGTTCTTGCATCTTGTCTTCAATTAATTGATGTCACTAACCACAGAGAGAACTGACATTCGGAGTCAAGACACCCACAGAAGTTAACTGCAAAAATTCATCTAGATGGTATTAACATTCGATTAGCATTTTCATTGTTGCTACTAGTTATTATGACTCCTTTTACTTTCTCACTGAGAATTCTGTGCTTCCACTGTTGTTAGTAGAGAGTCTTACATTCATACCAACATGTGGTCACAAAGACAACAATTTTTACTAATATCAAAAGTATCAAAATGGGTTAGAGATAAAAATTCCTGTCATATAAGCAGGGTAGTCACTGGTTTACTACCTAGAGAAATAAAGCTACAATAGACTAGACAATTTATTGATGCTAAACAGGAGGTGAAGACAACAAAGTTTTGAAGTGAAATAAAGTGAGCTATTTTTCATGGAATTTATGATGGGTAGTGGAGGGTAGGTCAGATGTAAGCAGAAGAGTTATGTATGCTTGGGGCACTATGAGTCAATGTTATTAGTTCTATTATCTGATTTTGTTATTTTCTTTGGGTTTCTGTAGGTGCCCTACATCAGAGATTTCAGTGCAGGCAGCCCAGAATAATGTTGCTCTTAAAAACTCTTATTGACTATTTGTTCATCTTTTATCTGTTTAAGACAACCGGATACAACTGGAATGATGAAGGAGCAGGAAATGATGATGTAAGGAAAAGGAAAAGAAGTTATTTTATTTTGCTTTGTTTTTCCCAGTAATTTATTGGACTGAAAAAATACAAATTAAATATCAGAATTATCAATGTGCTTATCAATTTAAAAATGTTTTCAAAGAGCACGTGGTAAAAATCAAAGCTAACACTTCCAGTTAAACCAGGTAAATTAGATATGTATTCCATCTCTGCTTCCTCCTGAGATGCCCCCTGAAAAGGCTAAAATGATATATTATATAAACCTCAAAGGACAAAGAGAAAGAGTGATAAGATTACAGACAAAAGATGTCAGCACACTCTTGGAAGACTGAAAGCAGATGCACAAATGCTAAATGACTTAATCAACAAAAAGAGCTGACACAGCAGTACCTATGCAGTGGAAAATAGGCCAGTTCTTGCCATAGCATCTCAGAAGGCCGAGGAATTAGAGACAGCCAGGGCCTGTGAAAGTGAAAGTGAACTTGGGGCTGTAAACAGACTTTTTTGTGTTGAAACTCTGTTTGGGGAGTGGGTAGATTCCTAGATCCCTCTCTTTTGCCCCAAATGTCCAGGCAGGCAACTATCTCTCTCCCATCCGTCAGAAGTCAGAGATTTGCTCCATGCGGAAATGGGGGCAGTGAGGCAGGAAGGCTGGGCTGAGCAGACAGTGGGAGGGGTGCCACACTGACCGTGCACGTTAAGGGAACAGTGAACTTCTGCAATTTTAAATCGTGAGCTGCCGCTCTATTCTTCTGCTCAGTTCCAAGAATGTGGGCTGGGAAGTATACTTCCTAGGTAGAAGACTGGAAGATTCCTCTGTGTAGTAACTAAACACTCCAAGAGAAAAACCTACTGATATGAAACTTTCAGGGTCCTCCCCGACAGCAGATCCCCACACGCCTGCCCGCCCCTGCCAGGTCACCCAACAAGGAACTCCTAGTCATATAAAGCTTCTAAACAATGTTCCTGATGCCTCACTTTTAAGCACAGAATAACAGCCAAAGGAGGTTGGGCATTTGAAAAGCCTCTAATGTAAAGATAGAGACTAAAGCAAACAAACATGAATAAAGGACTTGGAAATAAACAGAACAAACACAGGGAAGAGAAGAAAATATCAAATAAATCTATAATTAACATTCTCAGAGCCTGGGATAAGAGAAAATAATGTACCAACAAAACAAGAAAAGCTTTTGTTTAAAAAAGAGAGCATTCAGACAATGAGAAAGAACTCATAGAAATTAAAATATTAATATGAGACCAGAAACTTTTAAAACTGTTATATAGGAAGGAAGAAGCAGTGGAGGAAATCGCCCCAAAAGGTCAAACAAAACGAAAAATATATGGACAATAGGAGAACAATAAAAAGGAGGCTAAGAAAAACTTCAGTCCAGGTGGTTCAACTAATAGAGTTCTATAAAAAAGAAAACAGAAAGAAAGAACTATCAAAGAAATAATATAAGAATGTTTCTTAGAATCAAAGAATATGCTATTCCAGACAGAAAGGACCCAGAACAATACACGCAAGAACAAAAAAATCATAAGTGATCATATTATCATGAAAACCACACGTGCCATGTATTCCCGTCTCCCAGCTAGTGCGATGAGGCCTGCTTCTTACCAATTGCATCTGGAGCAGGGCTCTAGGCCACCCTCCCCGCAGATGCCTTACTGAGATCCTCAAACATACATCATACCCACTTTTAAATAGCATCCGATCAGAGTAGGGCACGTCCCCCAAATGTACCAAAGCCCAAATGTGATAATCAGTCCCATTTAACATCCTGTCTCTGAGCTACCCCACGGCTCTCCATGGTGTGAGTCT